AACTTGAGCATCCTGGATTTTGGTATCTGCTGGCGTGCTGGAACCAATGCCCTGAGCATACAGAGGGTCAATTATATGCAGTTAACTCCCAGCAGAGGCAGGCCTGGACACGGGAATCCTCAAAACATTTCTGCAGGCGTTGCGGGTGTGGTGGGAACCCTTGGTGAAGAATTGTTGTTCTAACGAGGACCTACTGTCCAGCACATGGACCTCTGCTCGATGTTAAGCGGCAGCCTGGATGGGAGAATGATGCCCGTATATGTATGGGTGAGCCCCCTTGCTGTTCCCCTGGAGCTGTCACAGCATTGTCAATTGGCTATACCCCAATAAAAATAAGAAGTTAAAAAATGTGTTCTAAAGCGGAAGTTTATCAAGTGTGGTCTTGGTGGTCTCTGGAACTCCTCGACTCTGTCAGGGACTCCATGAAATTCAAAAATATGTTTATAACATATACCTGCAGAAGATAGAAAAACAATAGAAGATGGAGAGAAAGAAAAAAAAAATCATTGTGCCACCTTATTTGTAATGAGTTAAATTTCAATTTCAGCTGTCAGTTACGGAAAGGTTTTTGTCAAAATGCAGCTGGTAAATTCCAGTGTCCTTTGATGTCAATTAGTTGGGAAGGTGTAAAGATACATTGATATTCCCAATAAGTGGGCTCAAACCCCCTGAAACTCTTCATTTGGATAGTTTTTTGCCAGCCTAGAATATTTGGCTTCTGAGTTTAAATGTGCAAGTAAGAAGGTGTCCAGGTGGCACAGGTACACCAGTTTTGGTAACAACATCATGTAACAAGGGATAGGTCCAATTTTATTTGTATCAAGATGCAGGAAGTCAGTGACTGAAGGCACCCCTGTTATCCTCTCTGAGCTGAGCAATCTACAGTTGTTTCGGGACTGCTTGGATGACAGTGGTCCCCTGATGCTGACAATGGGAGAACACCATTAGTAACTCATATATCAAATATCAGCAGAATGAACTCAGAGGTTTCCGATTTTCTTTCTGTATCTCCTGGTCACATGCACTCGGCTTTAGGAGCAGTGGAAAGCCATTGGGGAGTTTTAATTAAAGGAGAACCATCATCAGGTCTGTGATTTAAAAGCATAGGGAACTAGTAAGAGAGTGGGCTAGAAAGGGGAGGCTAGGCACATTAGAAAAAAATAAAAGACAGCAGGAGGCTGGGGCCCAAGTTGGAGCAGCAGAAGGAAAGGGAAGGAAGTATGGATTTGATAGATGTTTCGGAGACACATTTCACAGAAGTTTGGATGTGGGAGGAGGGGGCAAAATCTAGAGGCATCTTGGAAGCTGCTAATGCCCTTCCCTGAGCACGGGAGGAAGAGGGCAGGGATAAAGTATTACGAGCTCAGGTGTGGGTGATCTGAGCTTCCACCTGTGTGTGGTATGAAGGTGACATTCCACAGTGTTAAGAAGGAAAGAGCCGGGCAAGCTGAAGCAAAGCTTTTTCCTTCCAAGTCTTATTTTTTCAGCCCTCTAGGCCTAGGTCCTTTGCGTTTTTGGAAAGTCATCAATTTCTTTCAGATTTTAAAGAAAGCCACTGTTTCCACTTCAGAAAAATAGTGTATACACCCCATAGAAAACTGTGCACATGCTTTATATAGGGTTCCCAAACCCGAGGTCCATCTATTGCTCCAGACTGGAATGTACCCCAAGTGACTCCCTCGCTGCCCTCCAAACCTACCCTATTTGGGTCTGTGTGCCATTTCTCTGAGTCAGATAATTTGCTAATTATAAGTCACTTCCTATTTTAGAAATCCTGATGACTTATGGTCAAATGCTTATGTTCATCATGCTGATTGAAGGACTGTAATTTTTAATGCCAGGTGAGAGATGGAGGAAGAATGGAGAAAAAGAAAAGAGGTCGATTTGAGGCTTTGTGATTCCTCTGGGTAAGCATTCATAGAGCTCAGACAGGCTGGGATACACACAGCATCTCTGTGAACAATTCTTGTCTGATTGAACCAGAATCTAATAAGAAGTCTTGAAAAATAAGTGAAATGACACCAGAAGAAAGCAAAGCACCAAATCCAGAATGTGAGCTGTTACAGAACGAATGACCTAATTGCCTTAACAAATAGCATGAAATTTTAAAGAGAGAGTGTTAAGAATAAAAGAGTCTTAAGAAATGCTAGTAACCCAGAGCAATAGGACTCTGTATAGCGGACAATCAGAAATTATTATAGAATACATACTTAGGATTGAATGTTATTAAAAGTTTTTGAGCTCAGGGTAATAATGGTGGTTATAGAAAAAGAACATATTTTTATAGATTAGAGATTGATGCTTGATGTATTGGTGAGTGTGAGAACACAGTATCTGAAATTTGCTTTGAAATAGTAAAAAAAAAAAAGAGAGAAGGCGACAAATGAAACAAATTTGGTAAGGTGTTGATTGTTGAAACGATGGACATATGAGTGTTCATAATACTCTCAACTACCTTGTACTCTCAACAGCATACTTCTTGTATGTTAAAATTTCCCATAGTAAGTTTAAAAATATTATAAATATTTCCTTAAAGGCATGATTCTAAAATATGGCTGATGATCAGAATTTCCTGAGGAACTTTAAAAAAGAAAAAAAAGATTCCAGGAGCGGCACAGTCGTTCAGCATTGATATTCTATGGGCATACTTGTATTGGGTGGAAGACTGGGCCATTTATAATTTCCCAGGACAGTGGTGTCACCAGTGCTCATGGCCATCACAGCCATAGGTCACCTCTTCTGAGATCTGACCCAGGAGTCTTACACTCCTTCCTCCCCTCTGATTTCTTTCCTTTTCGGTCTCTCTCTGCTCCTCCCTCTGGTCTTCGCTCTCTGCACTTCAGTAAGGCTGAGGGCGGAACCTTCACAGGAGCACAGGGACCTGGCATCTCCTGGGAACAGGTATTGGCAGGTCCTGCCCACTTCCCCTCTGGGCCTCAGCGCCTTCCCTGTTAAACCAGAGGCCTTACCCTTAAGAGTAGGTTCTCTTCCTACCTATGGGTGAGAGATATACCCTCTGTCCGGGTGCACGTTGAAACAACTGTTTGGGATGCATGGTCTTAATATGGGGGCCCTTTTCTTTCATCACTCGTAAATAGAAGACATCCACATTTGCTCTTAAATAATTTAATTTTTAATCTTGACTTCCATGAAAAGTTACATTTAAATTTAGGAAAACTTGAAGAAAGCCAATAGAGGAGAGTCAACAGTTTTCTATTAGAGACAATTCAATGTGCAAATTTCAAATGTTTTGTATAATAAGCATAAATAATTCCCCTTATTCACATTAAGAATGAAAATATTGATACACATAAAATATTAAAATAGAAACTTTAAAAGAACTAAATGAAAACACTGACGTTTATTTGAAATCTTTAGAAAGACATAGAGAGATATGCCCAGGGAAAAGGTGTATGGATTCTCAAGAGGAAAACACATCACGTCAGACCAGCAAAGGCTGTGGGGCATTAGGTACAGATTGTCAAGATTTCCAGGTCATAAGTCCAGACCAACAACAAGAAAAACAGCAGCCTTTACCTCTGGGGACAATGTGTTTCCCTTTTTTTTTTTTCTTTTCTAGCACAAGTATGACAGTAACATAAAACACAGAGAGAGGCTGCAGGCCAAGGACAGAGAGAGGTTTCCTCATCCTCCTGGTTACAAGGTTGTGCTGCTCCAATGCGAAGCTGGCTGCAAGGTCAGTGCCCCACACCCCAGGACACAGCGTGAACACAGCAAACAAACCCTTCGTCAAAGGCAACGTCCTTCCCCGTGACCTTCCCCGACCTCACCCCTGCTCCTTCCCCACTATCTGTCTGAGGAGGTAGGATACACAGAACCCCTTATACACTGTGGAGAATGGCTTCTCACTGAAGGGCTGGGAAGTGGCTCTGGCCAAAAGTCTCACCAGAAAGCGTAAGACTTTAATGGATTTACTGTGGAAGAGACGGTTTCTTTCCTAGGGAAGCCAAGCAAAGTGCATGGAGAAGGCCGACTCCCCCACCGTGATCAGGAACTTGCCTGCCTCTGATAGTCAGTCTTATGTTATCTCAAGAGGACACTATAGCATTTTCTGAAGACCAGAAGAAACATCTTCACTTAAATAACTTTAAAGTTTGTATTAAAATAAATAAAGTGATTTACACAGGAATTTCCATTTCACAGAGCAGCTGGTGGAGTTCATGCAAGCTGTGTCTATGAGAGGTGCTTGCCCCAACAACAACCAGAAAATAGGTTATTATTATTAGTCAGTCCTCTTACTTAAAACCTCTAGGGCAGCATCTCAACATGACCAAAAAAAAAAAAAAAAAATCCCCTCATACAGAATATAAGGGGCCGTGATATATGTACACAACTGTATGCACACCTCAGTTTGAGTTAACTTTAGAAGTAAAGACAGTGGTAACCAAGAGTTGCCCATCTGCCTGCTAACATGTTCTGAGTCTTGAAAGGTGCGTATTGTGAAGAGCAGCTGGTTTGCTTTTTTTTTATGAACGTGTTCAGCCTCAGCATCACAGTCTGGATGGTTCTGCTTCTGCTGTGTCCGTGGCCAGTGGGGAGAAGCCGCGGCCGACTGACGCCGAGTCTGTCCGCGTTCCCCGAGCTTCCTGAGTTTCCGGCAGAGGGCCTGCAGGCCCCGAAGCCTCAGCTCCCCGTCTCTGAGAGACGCTGAGGGAGGGCAGGGGACTGGCTCTGGGTTCCCCAGTCCAGCCGGACCCTGCGTCTTTTCCCTTTTCTCTGAAGACGGTGGGGCAGTCCTGGCTTGGAGGTTCCCAGCCTTCTGCTCAGAAGGGTGCTGACCCCGCGCAACCCGTGGCCCGTCACACGCTTTGCTCAGACTCCTGGCCGGAGACAGGAGCGCTTCTTTCGTCCCCCGCTCACAGACAGCCCAGGCCCACCCTGCAGGGTAGGGCCCTCGGGAGCGGCGCCGAGAGAGGATGGCACCCCGTGGGCTAAGGCTCTAGGCCCCTTGGGGCCTGGGGCTGGCCCCCTGGGTCGGGTTAGCCGTACATCTGCTTGAACTGAAAGCACTCATTGCAGTAGCCGTTGCACTTGGCGTTGCCGAAGTGGTCGCAGGCGGGGGCCCGGCAGCGTGGCGTGGGGGGCTCCTCGGGGCTGTGCTCTGGCCGGCGGGTGCTGGTGCCCGCTCGCTGGCCGAGGTGCTGGCACTCCATGCAGAGCTCCTGGCTGCAGCAGGCCAGCACATTCCGGCAGGTGGCCTGTGCGCACTTGGACCTGGAGGCGCTCTGTGAGGCTCGGGGCAAGTCTCTGCGCTGGCTTGACCTCTGGGTGGAGAGAGCAGAGAGAACTGTCATCGTGCGTTGCAGGGAGAACATGGCACCCTATTCAACTGACAGTGTGGGTCCTACAAAGGGCCTGGTGGGGCGAGGGGCATCTGCCTGCCCAAGGGCACAGGTGGCAGCCTGAGGACCGAAGTCTCCCAGGACCGCTTTTCCCCATCCCATGAAATCAGACCTTGGCCCCAGAGAGGCCCAGGGGAACCACCAACCCTAACACAGAGGCCAGCTTCTGTTAGAGTGAATAGTAACTGCGTGAATAGTAACTGTGTGAATACTAAGCTATCCTCACTCAGATAAGATTCCCTACCATCTACCAACCAATAGGCAAGGCATCTATCAATAAATGCTTCCTTTCTTTTGGCCAGTAAGTGGAGGCACCTGGGGCGATCTGCTTCCTCCTTGGATCTCATGACAGAGGATTAGTTATTAGTTAAGGAAGCCTGCTGGCCACTAAGAGGTCTGTACTTCCGCTACAAATCCAAGAAGTCTCTGATCACCATCTGGCTTCTCAGAGGCTTTCATGGGTTTTACTCCATGGCTAGTTTCGTTTGCTTCTTCAAATGAATTCAAAAGTAAACTTAAGCCACGAAAATCAATAGGAACCGCTGCATGTCCAAGCCTGGGGACCAGGCTGACTTTTCCCCTGGTTTTTCCCTGGAACTCGGCAGGGAGAAAAGCCCGCTTATCACCCGGGAAGGAGGCTGGGCCTGAAGGACAGGGGGAAGTCCCTTGAGAGGTCTCACCAGCTGCTCTTCAGTCCTTTTTGCTTCATGGAATCTCTGATTCTGAGCTTCAATGAAACACTTCTGACAGTATCCTTCAAACACGGTGCTACCGAGGGCGCCACATTCCCTGCCCAGGCAGGGGACTGCGTTCTGGAACCTGGAGGCTGTGGGACTGGCTTTCCCAGAGGCAGCGACTAAATCTGCAAGACAGTGGAGGCTCATCAGGAACACGTATGGGCCACCCAGCAGAAGGACAGTTTTCTGACACAGATTAGGCCAGTTGCACTCTAGGAGAGCAACCTTTCAGACACTCAGCAAAATAAACAACAGAAACAATACTGTAATTAAAACATCTTTGACTCTACAAGTCTCTCTCTTTGGAACACGCTGAACGGGTAGGTCACGGCCACCACAGAACAAGCAGAGACATTAAGTGCCCATCCTTCTTTCAGATTTGATATTTCTAAAACCACAAAGGCATTCTTATGTAGTCAGTAGAGACCACCCTCTTTCCAGCTGTCTGTGTATGTTAGTCACTCAGTCATGTCTGATGCTTTGTGACCTCATGGACTGTAGCCCACCAGGCTCCTCTGTCCATGGGATTCTCCAGGCAAGAATACTGGAGTGGGTTGCCATCCCCTTCTCCAGGGGATCTTCCTGACCCAGGGATTGAACCCAAGTCTCCTGCATTGCAGGTGGATTCTTTACCATTGGAGCTAGCAGGGAAGCCCTCTTTTCAGTTATTGCTCTTCAGATTTTGAATTTTCTCTAGTTCGCTTGAGTTTCAAAAGAAGTCTTGTTTGAACTCTACCTTACAAACACTGCATTGCATGACCTTATAAAACAAATTCTCTGAACTCTGCACAGAGCTCTGTGGATCCTGGAACATGCTATTCTGTGCTTTCACTTCCAAGCATGCTGGAAGAACTACTGGGATTCTGCCCCCAGGCAAGCCACACTCTCCCCCACGGCCCAGAAGGGGCTCCCTTCTTGAAGTTAAGGGGCATACAGCCTTTCACTCGGGCGTTTTTAAACAGAGGAGAGGAAACCCATCGTCACACTCACGTTTATTTTCTCTGTACTCGATGAAACACAGTGTGCAAAAGCCTTTGTTCTCTGGGGTCCCAAAGTACATGCAGCCCACTTTCCTGCACTTACTGGTCCCCATCCTTTCCCCTGGAGTCCGTGTGGCCGGGGAGTGGTGACCGGCGGGTGCCTCGGGCCCGGCTCTGCGGCAGGCATGTGGGGACAGGCTCTGGGCCAGCTGCGAGGGGTCGGACTTGGAGCGCTGGTGGAAGGACAGGGAGCCACTGGAGCTGAGGTTTGGGGCGGCCTCGGCTGTAGTCCTCTTAAGGCAAGTACTGCAGATGCCATTAAACGTCCTGGTGACATCCTGGAGGCAGGCTCGGCACTTGCCCGGGTCGGGAAGCCGCGTGGGGTCGGCGGGGCGGCCTGGTGGCAGCTGCCGAGCGTTGTGGCATCGCTCGCAGAAGCCGTTGTGCTGCACGTTGAGGGTAAAGGGGCAGCCGGGGCTCCTGCACTTCATGGCCGTGGTCTCGCTGAACAGGAAGAGGCTGGGTGCCGTCGGAGGGGCTGAGTGGGGGCCTCCGGCGGGCTCCGCGGGGCTCCAGACCTCCCCCCGGGCGGTCCCAAGCACCAGGCCGGGGAGCAGCTCGGGACCCGGCTTGGAGGCGGGCTTTGGGACTTTCGTTTGGTTCTTCTGCCGCCTTTCTGAGCACTCGTGGCACAAAGGCTGGGTGTTCACGGACATGAAGAACGGGCATTTGGGTGTCTCACATTTGATGTCCATGAGAGAAAGCTGGGGGATGGAAGGGTCCAGAGGATTCTGGGGGTGCGTGTTTCTCCGTCCCTGCTCACTGTTTTCCTGCCACTTCTTGTATTCGTGCTGGACAAGTTCAAAGTAATCATCTACCAGGTTTATTTCTTTGGGTAAGTTAGCTTCATCCAACCTAAAGAACAAAAGGAAAAATATGAGACTTCACAAACACACACACACACAGACCCACACACAATTTTACATCATTAGCTCATAGAACAAACTGAAAATATGGATTGTGGCAATAACTTTCTACCCAGCCACTGAAATGCAGTCTGTGATAGTTTGCACCTCTAATGTAACACAGTCCAGTAATGCTGAGAAGACATCACTATTCTGAGAATCAGTCTCATTTAATTAATTTTGGTCCACCCCAAATTACAGATAATGCTAAAGAGAGGGTTACTTGGGGACTGCTTCTATACTTACTCTATTCCTCTTTGAAATAGTTACTTTTACTATCTAAGTTCTTGGAGATGAAATTTCTAGTGAAACATTCTTCATGGTATTCATTTGGGACAAGTCTATTTTCCAGCACAAACTATACTGGAATGTTGCATTCTGTATTTTGCTGTTATTAATTTTAAATGTGCATCTGGTGCCTATCAGCGTTAACTGCCATGAGCAGTAACTAAGAGGTGGACATGCTCACAGGCACTCTGTACTGACTTCTGACTCACTGAAATTTGTTCATCTCCACGCTGAGAAATTGTTTAGCTTAGGCCTTCTTGGTCTTGTGCACTTCAAGTTCTAGGAAACAGGCATCTCTTTATCATCAAGCCAGTGTTTACAATCTCGATACCTATAAACCCGCGCTCTGGGTCTCTCCTCCCTCATCCACGTGGCCAACTCGTGGCTGCTACAGAAACACATTCCACAGCCCAGCCTGCATGTGATGTGTCTGCCTTACCCAGAAGCCAGGAGAATGAGGCTTTTGTTTCTAAGAATTTTCACTTGTTAGTCTAGCACTAGGGTAATTAAAAGAAAAAAAAAGTATCCTTGATGTGAACGCACTTTTTGAAGCCACAATGCTGGCTTCCAAGCATCCAGATACACAGGACAATCCTCTGGAAAAATTCCTAGTTGTCATTTGAAAACCAAAGTCAGTGCCACTTGAGCTGATTGTCTCTGACACACACAAGCCCCTAAATTTGTTTCACGTTGGAGGAAACTGGCTTCAAATAACTTTACTATTGGTCTCTGAGGCAGAAGCAGCTTAAAGATGACACAGGACAGAGCTAAGAACAAACTGCTTACTTTGCAGCATTAATTAAATGGGTGGTGCCGTGGTCCCAGCCTTGAACAGGGATTTCTACCACCATCAAGTACTCTTTCAGGAGCTTTTCCTTCATCTCGTTTTCAGGATCTGTCAAAAAGTGAACTTTTAAGTCTTCAAATCGTCCTCGCTCTCTGTTAACAAGGGGAACAGCTCGGATTTCTGAGGGAAAAAGAAATGACACGTAAGCAAAATGGTTCTACTAAACAAGATTTTGTGTGAGGTCACACATATTTAACGACTGCATTTTGAAAAAACGGAAAGGATACAATTACAGAGTGGAAAAGTATTATCTAGCCACAAAATCAAATGGGGAAACAAACTGTGCTAAACTAACATAAAATACACAGTTTCCGGGAAGTTCACAGAATATTAAGCAGCCTCCAAGCAGTGGGTCTTATTGGTTAAATTACTGCACTTCAGATTCAGACTGACCTGAGTTCAGATTCTGATTTTGCCACTATCCAGCTCTGTGACATTAGGGAAGGTACTTAACTTCTCTGAGCTTCAGGTGCATCATCTGTACAGTAAGGCTATCCGTGCTTATAGCATCCACATGGATGCTGTGAAGACGAAGTGAAATAAATATTGTACCTAAAGCATTTATAAAGTACCCTATTAGTTCCACATTAAGATAGTACAGTAATAGCTAGCCTGCCAGACTTTTACCTGCCCCAGGCCAGGCACTGTATTATGGGCTAATTAAGAACTGGTGGTAGTAATAGACATTATCTCCTATTTGCTACTAACGTGCTCAAAGTAGGTCCCAAACGACACACAAAACAAGTGGGGGGGGGCATTATGATTAGTGCTAGTGCATTATTGTTGCTAATCAAATAAATGACAGAATACTCTATTTGAATAAAACTAATATACTTAAATGAGGCTTTCAAAAAGGAGCCAAAGAGCAAACCCCGAGGTTCAGTAAGAACAGGGTGTACCAGGATTCACCAGCAGTTACAAATGTGAATAGATGTTTGGTTTTCTCACCAGGTCCACTGTCCTTCATGGTCACCAGGGGTACAAAGTGTTGGCTGTCATAGCCGAGCACAATGGGGTATCTGTAGCATTCCTGGGCAGGCCAGTGCAGAGGCAGGTAAATCCCACCCACCTTCAGAGGAGCAAAATTGGAACCTGATTCCAAACTTCTCAGCATTTTGTCTGTTTAAGGAAAGAGAAAGAAAAGATAAGGCCCTCTGAGACTTTCATGGGAGTCCTTTTAACTACAGTCGCCTGGAACTTGGGTCACGCTAAGAGGTAAGGGATTAAAGCTGAAAGGCACCTAAACACAGATAAGCCATCAGCGGGCATCTCACCTGAAATGACAATGATTGGCCTTCTGAGGATGTTGCAAAGGACAAATATGTGTATTTCTTCCAGTGAATGATACTGCAGTCCACCTCGGGCCGCGGGTGTGTCTGCGGATGCCATCTTGACGAGGCTGTCCCACTCATCGGTCCAATTCTAAGTGGAGAGGAAAGAAACTATTGAACGTACTCTGCATTAAAAAACAACTTTGGCTCCATTCTATAACTATTCACTGGTATCACCAAGCTTACTTCTACCCTTTCCTGAGATCATTACTCAAATGATCACCCGCTTTTCCCCCATTCTGGTTTTCTTCCTTTAGTTTTTCCCACTATAAGGCAAACTCAGAAGCAGAAGAGTACGGGGACAGCACCTGCTTTCAGAAAAATCCCTGCTGAAGCACCACGCCAAGCTCCTTGTGCACAAAGTCCCAGCCTAGTGACCAAAGATGCGGAGGTGCCCCCTGAATCTGACTGGCGGGCTCAGTAAAGCAAGCGAAGGGCCATCAATCTCCCCAAACAGCCAAAATGCCACAGGGAATCCCGTGATCAGAAAGATCATTCTAAAATGACTCTCCAGCTGGGAAGATGCTGCCTGGGAGCCTCCCAGCAGTGACAAGGGCCTTGGGCTCATCCCACGGGAGGTTTCTGGTGTTTTCCATTGACTCTGCTTAGCCAAGTTCATGGGACCCAGCAAACCATATGCTCCCTGACGGCAGGGACTGGTCAGAGGTGCACTTTTCCCACCATGGAGCTCTGTCAATAGGTGCTTGAGGAGGAAGCGCAACATACCCGGGTGTCGTAGCAAAGCCCAGTTTCCACGAATTCCTGAGACTTAAGAGACTCCAGCTGCCAGCGGAATTTAAAGTTGCGTGTGTCCGTCTCCTTGAGGGTGCTGAAGAGTGCCTTCCTCAGGACCAAGTCTGTGTCCTGAACACCCCACATGTACTGGGAAGCCGCGTGCATGAGGCAGTTTCCGTCACCTGGGGACAGAAGGGAAGCAAATTCTAGCAATCTGCATCTAAGGCCTAGCAGAGGTTTCCAGAATAAACCAGCCTCTCTGCTACCATTGGTGGGGACCCAGTAGTGCTTGTGAGAAATGCCAATGGTTTAGTTTCTTAGTCAAAGGACTAGCTGGTAACATTTCACTCGGTGATGACAGCTTTAAGGGAAAAATAAAAAATCATTCTTGTAACTCTTCTGTTTAATGCGTGCTACTAACAGCCCAAGGAACCAAGGACTGAGAGTCTGGAGGCTTTGACTCCTGTCTGGCTCTGCCCTCGGTGGGGAATTTTTTAACCTCTGAGTATTTTCCTCTTTGTGAGATGAGGGCATTGGATTATGATCTCTGAAGTCCCTTCCTTTCTAACAAGCCTTGATTTTCTGGCTCAGGTGCTGGTCCTATTGCTCTCTGACCCTGAGAGAGAACACCCAGAGCAACATGCTCAAACCAGGAAGCTGGTCTGGCTCTGCTTATTAGACAGGGACCGTCTGGCCATGACTCAGTGGTAAATGACTTGACCACCCCACCACAGCATTCGGGGCCTGGGAGTTTCCTCTCCTGATTTATAAAATGGGACTGAGACAGAATTACCTACTAGCCTGCTCACTCCCACCTCCCATAAATGCCTTGTGTGAACCTGCTTGTTAGCAGTTAGAGTCCCTTTTCAGAGTTAAAGAGTGCCTAGATGTCTACATTTCAAAATAATTCAGTGTTTACAGCTGGCACTTTAAGAACTCTGAGCCTTTTGAGAAAAAGATAGGTTTAATTTTAGTCTGTCATTTTGTTACTTTTATAGATTAAAAATCCACAACTCATGAAATGGCATTTTTTTTTTTTTCAGCTTCCAAAGAATAAATGTTTTGGAGGAATGTTTAATATTTAAAAAGTTAACTCCTTAGGCTCTTCTGGGAAGTGCAAAATTTTTTTATAAAGAAAAGTTCAATTATTTCCTTACATTCCTATATGGGGCAATGAAGCTATTTGAAATTTTATCATATCCTAATTACAGTCAACTGTAAACAACAACACCACCACCACCCTCAAACATATCCACAGCCAATATCCTTTCAGTTTACACAGTCAGAAAAACTAGCTAAATAAACATTCAAACAAATGAACCAAAAAGATCGCTCAAGCCTTGTGTCTTGGCAGAGTGTGGCAACAATTGCAAGCTGTTGAAATTTCCCCTTTGCAAAATCTAGAGCAAAGATAAGGCTTTTTTTCTTCTTCTTGTGCTTACTTTCAGTTCTTTATTGAGATGCACCAGCATAAAATTCCCTAAGTAACATCTGGAATTCCCCAGTGCTAAGTTATTTGACTAGCAATTGAGCAACAGCTATTGTACTTTTTGTTCTGGTGTGTAGACATTTAAACTGCGAAGTGCACCCTGGACTTTCCAAGTGGGTGTGGTCAGGGTGAGCTGGGATAGGGCTACTCATTACACAAGTGAAATCGCTGCAGCCAATAGACGCTGGAATTTTTCAAATGAAGTTTCAATTTTATGCCACCTACTCCCTTCCTCATTCACCGCAGTCTCATATCCTCAAATGCAAACTTGTGAATCACCCCCTCCCCAAATAGACCATTGACTTTGAAGAGCCTTCCAATAGGGGGAAGACTTAAAAAAAAAAATGGTGCTAATAAAAATCAGAAAGGAAAAGTCGTTTGTTTTCCTCTTCCCCTAAATATCTTCTCTTCCTTTTCCAAAATTTTAAGGAATTTTCTTGTAAGTGGAGAAATAAAAGGACTCTGAGCCTAAAAACCCCCATCTCTCAGAAAATGATATCAAAATGCACTTGCTTTGTAGTTTTATTTGTAGCGTGAATCCTTGACTTAAATGTGTATCTTTGCAAGACAAGTATTTACTTTTTATATTCCATTTTTTTCCTTAAGGAACTAGAGCAAGTTGAACCTAAAATCTCAGTTCAGTTCATGATAAAATGGTTTTTTCCTTACTACCACATTTCTAATTTGGCAGAATCTCTTCTTTTCAACTCTCCCAAAGTTGACTCCACCTCTTTTTGTAACAAAATGGGAGAGTTAAAACCACAAACTGTCAGGAATATAAACCCCTTGATGATGACTTAACATAATTACCTACTTCTAAGCATCTTTTGATTTAATGCCAAAACTAGTGTAAACACTAGGTAGCCTCAGTTTTCTGTTTCTAAGAATCTATGCTTTAAAAATAAAAGCACGATGTTGAGGTGATGCACTTAACCCCCAAAACCCAAGCAAAAAGTCATGTCCCTCAATAGTGCCAAGTTACCCAAGTCAAAAACGGCCAAAGTGAATGTACCACTTCATTTAATTAAGTTAACATACTTATCATCTGGTCTCACTGTCAGTGAAGATGTATTATTTTGCCCTTAGATGTATATCAATCAAAATAATTGGGATGGTTTAGGATTGTCACTGATCTAAGGACAGGGGTTTCCTGCTTTTATCTAGACAATAAGCAGTCTACAGCTTCTTGTAATAATTAGCTACATTTATAAAATAGAATTTTGCTACTACATTTAACACTAGGCTTGAATCTTTCTGTGATGTGCATACTCTTGCTCAAAGAAAATAACTAAAAAACAGTGAAGTTTAGAACAGGAAACAGCAACGAGTCGTAAACAGCCGTTGGGCAGACAGTCACAGATAGCAAGAAATGCAGTACAGTACTAGGAATCCCTAAAAAGATGAAACAGAGGACTAAAACCTGAGCTAAGAACTCAGGTTTATCTGTCTATTTAGTATCTTGGGACTGCAGGCAACAGGACCTAGGTAAGGGAGGAGCTGACAATAGCCGTTGGTTAACCCATAAAATGCCATCAATTCAAGAAGAGTAAGGCCATCATCACAGGCATTTTCTAATGACAGTGGAAAACACTATTGATTTTCACACCATGCTTTTCTTCTGAACTTTTTAAAGCCTTTTGATATTTCCATTACTCGTGAGGGAAGGGTATTTCATGACTGAACAGTCACAAGAATTAGATACAGAAGTCATACGTACACACCCTACACATACATCTAACGCACGGTGTCCAGAAATGCATTCTCCAAGCTTCAGGGTGCTCTGCTCTCTAACATGCACTAGAAACCACCCTCAATTCAAATACTCCCAAAGCAAGCTTGCTTTCATCACATGCCCCTTGGAGTGTCTCTATACTAAGGTATCTATAGCCTTAAGAGACTTGATTTGGGGCTGGTGGGGACCCAGCATGGTAGGAGCCACCCCAAACCCCAGAGAGAAGCACGTCTTACCATTTGTCTTCAGTGCCACAAGCCTCCTGACTTCTCGACACCAGTTGAGCTTCTTCTGGCTTTCCAGGGAAGCCTGGATGTTTCTGTCAATGAGAGCATTGTGGATGATCTCCCGAAACTGTGGACAAAACTGGCAAGTTCTGAACATTTCCAGAGTGTATCGGTGCATGGATTTAAAATGGTGAATGATTCCATTGGTAGGTTTAAAAATATCTGCTGGCGTCCTCTCTCGTATCTTCACAGCTTTCCGCATATTGCTCAAATACAAGGCCAGAGGAAGGAGTTGCTCAGCCATGGTGCTCTCCAATACCTGAAGAGGAGGGAAAGAAAACCCCACGCCGTTAGTCTGACTTTGATATGACTCCTATATACCTGCCTGCAGGAAACCCCACCGTCTGATCTTGTCATTACCCTGAGTGGCAGGCAAAAGATCTTAGTCACCTCTACTCCCAGGATACTAGCTGGCCCCAAAGATGAACTCACACTGGACAGTTTTAAGTTACATCATTTTTAAAGATTAGTCTAAACAAGAGAAGGAGTGGGCAATGAGGAGGAGGGGAATAACCCGTGTTTTCAGTAACGTTTGTCAGGGAGCCAAGCTTGTCTGTCAGCAACAGGTACGGAGCCTTCTAACTGACTGAAACTCCCATCTCATCCTGATGCTGTTCTGGGGGCAAACACTGGATTTGAGGTGCCCTGAATGCTGCTTACAAGCACCATGTAGCCCTGACAAGTCAGCTCCTCTTCTAAGAGCACCACCAAGCAACCCTTTTTTTTCATCCATGTCTTGATTTACCTCTTTCAAGCACTCCCTCCCTATACTGGAAAGACAACAAATATTTTGTGAAAAATCCTGCAATTTTATGCTGCCATGTAGGCGGTCGATTGGACTTTTCTCTGTAGTCCCCAAAAGGAACATTTATAAAGCATTTACTTATAAAATGCTATTTACATATATACATAAAGAGTTAAACTAAATGCTTTATAACCAACAAAAAAGTCTACTCCCAGCAAGATGCTTTCCAATTTTAAGAGCAAACAGTTAGCAGTCTTTCAGAACCTATCCACTGAACTTTACAACATCAGAAGAATTAGAATAATAACAATACTAGAATAATAAATCCTACACTTCCATGGGCAGATATTGAAAGCACGGAATTATATTCTATGTAATAAGGGAATTAACTGTACTACTTAAACTCAACCACCAACACAATTTTATCAATGTCTTCCAGCTACCAATACTCAGATGGATTTCTCACCCTGTCTTCATCCTGAAATCTTCAAGCACACTCAACTAGTGGAAAGAAAGAAAAGTTTGGAAGCAGACAAGGAAAGAAGTTGCAGCCACAGGGGGCCACTCAGGACAAATGAAAGAGGAGGAGGATAACTCCAGCATCTCCAATCCGTGATAATAGCATGGGAAGATGTGAATCGATTTAACGTGGGACTTGACGGCTCATCTCTTTGTGGAGAGCCAGCTGACATTCACTGACCCTGAGCAGAGTGCCCTGCCATCCATCCAAATTTCCGAGATAAAGACAAAGACAGTTTCAGAGCACGAACAGGGCCTCTAGGAAGTTTCACTGTGATTGTTAATCCCAGTCCTGTAGCATACTGTTTGCCAGGGCAAGACTCTAGATGAGAAAGAAGTTAAACCAAGTTAAGAGGGAGAAGAAATCTATGTTACAAGGAAGCCTGTCTTGGGTCGGTCTCAGCTTTCTTAAAGACATTGATAAAATGGTCTAAATTCTCATGGCCCACTCCAGGGAGACAGGTGGACTAGATGACTCCCAGGTTCCTTGTGAGGAGTCTTCTGGTGGTAGATTTAGATCAGGATTCCTAATCTGACAGCTAGATGATGCCTGAAAGAAGTCATTCTCTGGGTCAAATGGTAATCTCTCCTTTTTGACGTCAGACATTCCTTACAGGTGGAATTGGGCAAAATCATGGCAAGACCACAGATACAACTAAGGGACAAAAACATCACACACGCGCCTCCTTGGTGGCATGGCAAAAGTCTCTTTCATGATGTCATTCACTTGTCCATCCATCACTCCGCAAGCACGGCCTGACCACATACTTCTACTGCCTGACCATCAGCTTGATGCCGAGGCAAAAGATCAAAGATAACCTTATTCCCCAGCGTGAGGTCACATGACTATCATAGTCTCCAGCTACAGCACCTGCAGTACTGGTCCCGATCAGGGACGTCCCACACCATCCAAGGGCAGGGCTTTGCCTAGAAGCCCGGTCTTCCAAACCCATCCCCTTGTTAATCTCACACCACCACACCTTTGGCTGCAGTGCAGGAAACAGACAGGCAAGAAGATCCGAAACAAACTAGGTGTAGCCTCTTTTTACTTTTCTGACTCTTCTATTATTTTCTTCTGCACCTAAGATCTTTCAAATAGTGAGCGCTAGAACCACAGGCAAGACATGCAAATGTCAATATCCGGCAGTCCAGTGTTGCCTCATTCATTGCTGTAGCCTTGAATGGCCTGCAGCATTGCCTCCTTAAAAGAAATCAAGACCCACTGCCTAAGTGGCCAGGACTTAAGACTTCTCCACACTTAAGATTAAAGAATAATCTGACTTGTGATAAAGAATTTCTGAGCTATGAATGTAATGTCCTTATATGCAAAGACAAACAATATCACCCATAACATTTCTTCCATGTTTCTGATACCTCATTGGCCTACCAACAGATATTAAATTTTCAGAAAGTACTATTTCAAAAACTCAAAAATTAAACAAAGAATTGAAAAAAAAAAAAAAAAAAGAAGCACCTTAGGACACAAGAATGAAGCAGTAACTGGCTGCTTAATAATCTGGGCCATTGGGGCTGTGGTCCAGAAGACCCAAACACTGGTTCTCCCAAAAGGCTGCCCTGGGAGAGCTGACCAGAGCAGCTTTCCGAGGAAAGATCAGAGGCAGGGAGAACTGAAAACAAAGCGGTCTCAACAAGAGTTGAGCTCCTTCCTTACTTAATACCACGGCTTTCCTGAAAGGCCAGGTGGCAGGATGTGGGACGACCCCGGCTGACAAGACAGTCTGACTTGGGGGTAGGGGCTTGCAGATGCTCTAAACTGGAGTCAGCCCCCAAGGCAGGCGGACGACCTCCTGCTCCACGCAAACATCTCTGACACTGCTGCACTCTGAGTGTCTGCAAGCCCTCCCCGGAAAGGAGAGCTGACCGGGCCCCCCGCCCCCTAGGTTCTGCTGCTGCTGCGACATCCTACCCCTCTGGACTGGTGCTGCACAGTCTGGAAAGAGGCCAGGCGGCTCTGCAAGGTCTACGTGGCCGTAAGCATGCAGAGTTCGACTCCAAAAGGGACAAGCCGAAGAGCAAAGCACCCATGACCACCCGGACCAAGCGGTTCCGGGGGGCGACTCTTCCCCAAGCAGCTGCCGTTCAAGTTCTCTGCATGAGCTGCAAGGGACAGTTGTCTGGATCCTAGAATACAGGCTGTCACCCCAACATCTGGCGGCCACCTCCACTCTCAGCAGCTCAGAACCTTACAGGGTCACAAACGGCCAACAAACTTCCCTCTGGGATCGCGGCAAAACCAAGGCCAGGTCGATGGGGCCAGCCCGCGGGTCGCTGCCAAATTCGCATCCGCAGCCCTTGTCCCGGGAGAGCCCGTGACAGACGGCACAGGGACGCGGGGTTACCTCTTGGGTCCGCGCGATCCTCTTCAGAAATCCCAAGTCCAGGTCAGGACAAGCGTGCGCCGCAGGCTGGGGTCGCAATTCGGGTCGGGGCCGGGTGGAGGCGGCTCCCCATGGACGCCTGGTTCGGGCGAGTTCTCCGGCGGGCCGGCCGGGGGGTGTGGATCTCCCTTGCTGCTGCCACCGCAGTCCTCCCGGCGGCTGCTCTCGCCGCTCCGCCCCCACGGCCTCCTAGCTCGTCGCACTTGGCCGCCGCGAAGGCTGCAGACTGCCAGTTCTCTTTTTTCCCTTTCTGTTTTACCGCCCGCGGACACCGGGGATTTCCACCCAGGGACTTTCCAGTCACGTGACACGAGCCCCAGACTCCCGAAGCCCTGGTCTCGCCGCTAGGGGGCGCAGGAGCCGCAGCAGGAGCGGGAAGCCAGATGCACTCCGCCCCGCCCCGACCCCGCCCCGCCGCCCCGCCCGAGAAACTCCTGCGCCCCGCCCCGGGGTGTCCCCGCGTGAGTCACCTGGGCATTTCGGAAGCTGGACCGAACGTCACATCCATGTGGAAATCGCAGTGATGGGAACTGGAAATGAAATAGGTTCTTTTTCTCAGCCGTTTTTCTGCAGAAAATCATCAACTGTGGAGAACAAGAAGGGAAATCATAAAGAAAGAAAACCCTAAAAACCACCCTCGCGCCCGGGGACCACAGACCTCCGCTGGCTTTTCTCTGCTTGGGCTTCACACGTGATGAGCCCGTAGGGGAGCGGCCAACTCTGGGCCCCCGGGGGGAATTTCGAGAAAAAGATGCAGTCACAGCTCTTGGTCCTCACCCGCTGCATTCCTGCCATCCCGGGACCCCAGGCTGGTGGGAGGCTACCTGGAGGTGACGTCAGACCTCGCGGCCCTGAAATTCACAGAGGCAAAACCAGACTTAGATAAAATTAGGAATCAAAACCCCTACCAACTCCGTCCCTCACTTGATTGATTTCCCATCTCCATTTCTGCGTATCAGAGGTCCGGGTGGCATCACATTCAGGTATCATACCAATTTACAAATCACTTCTTGATCCTTCCTGTCCTTGCCATATTCCCCTAAGCTGTTATTCGGAGTCCTTCTAGGAGATCTTGATAATAGTTCTCCCCGAGATGTCAATGGCTGATGATACTTATTACTCTTACTCTTGATTGGTGTTGTTTCGATCCCTAAATCATGGCCAACTCTTGTGACCCCATCGACTGTAGCCGGGCAGTCTCCTCGGTCTACGAGATTTCCCAGGCAAGAATACTGGAGTGGGTTGCCATTTCCTTCTCCAGGGGATATTCCCACCCAGGGATGGAACCTATATCTCCTGCAAAGGCAGGCTGGTTCTTTATCACTGAGCTCCCCTATTAAGTAGCATGCTAAGAGCCCTCTCTTCACCCAGCGGGTGTTTTGTGGAAATGGATGTCAGCCATCTTGGCTGTGAGGGACATGAGTTGTGGAGAGAGAGCCCCTAAGTCAGTCCTTTTATTGCCTTGGTGTCCCCCTTGACTGAGCTCATTTTCTAGCATGATTAAACTAGAACCAGACTGAAGTATTCTGTACCATTGTGCTCTTGTAGACTTAAGTATACTTGTCAGGACATATATCTCAGGTTTTGAGTTAGAAAAACATACTCCTTCTCTAAGAAATAAGAACCTTCAGAGAATGAGGTGGAGTCTGCATAGGGGGTGGTACTTTTCCAGCGGCTTTTAGAAGTGAGAGTCAGTAGTGACTAAGGTCCCAAGGCTGCTGCTGGTCATTTGAAACCAATGACTGGAATTTTTTTCCAACTTCTAACCTGATATTTGTCCTTCTCTCATTCACAAATGTTTTCAACTCAAGTAACACCGAAACAATGATAGTTAAGCATAGAGTAATAATGATGATGATACTTATCAAGTCCTTGTTATGTGCCAGGTTGTAGGCTGTTTGCATTCTGCCATTTAAACCTCACAGTTCCACTTTGCAGATGAAGAAATTGACGTTTAAGAAGTTTAAGCCATTTGCCCAAAGCCTGCACAGTCAGTGACAGAGCCATGATTGGCCCTGGGCCTGCCTTACACCCACACCGTTAGGTCCTGACTATTGATAATCACTCTCAGAAGAGAGCCTATAACACTTAAAGTCTCAGGGCCCCTGTTTGTAGGGGCCCAGCCTCGTAAGCCTATGGCAGTCACTTAGCAGAACATGGACCCTGGCCAAGGGCAGCATGCGGTCTTGGGAGCCAGACAGGCCT